CAGTACTGGCAGTCCAGGGGTACCGGGGTCTGGGGGTGATCGGAGGGGGACAGTACTGGGGGTCCGGGCAGTACTGGGGGTCTGGGGGTGATCCGGGGGTGCTCCCAGGGGCGGTACCGGCAGTCTGGGGAGCATCAGGGGTCTGGGGGCGATCCCTCCCAAAATTCAGTACGGACGAAGATTCCTCCCAGCCCAAAGGTGCCTGTCCAGAAAGCTCTTGCTGTCCGGGCTAGGGATTAGGGTTAGGGGAACCCCAAAAATCCACCTCGTGACCCCAGAATTCCCCAAAACAGCCCTAAAATCCACCCCGGGACCCCCCAAATCCCCCCAAACCGCCTCAAAATCTACTTCAGGAGCCCCAAAATCCACCCCGGGAGCCCCAAAATCCACACCGGGACCCTCAAAATCCCCCAAAACCTCCTCAAAATCGACCCTGGGACCCCCAAAATCCCCCAAAACCGCCTCAAAATCCACCCCAGGACCCCCAAAATCCTCCAAAGTCTACCCCGGGACCTCCAAAATCCACCCCGGAAGCCCCCCAAACAGCCCCAAAATCCACCAAAATCGCCCCAAAATCCACCCAGGACTCCCAAAATCCACCCCGGGACCCCCAAAATCCCCCCAAACTGCCCCAGAATCCACCCGGGATCCTCAAAATTACTCAAAATCCCCCCAAAATCCACCCCGAGACCCCCAGAATTCCCCCAAACCACCCCAAAGTCCACCCCGGAAGCCCCAAAACCGCCCCAAAATTTCCCAAAAATCCCACAAAACCACCCCAAAATCCACTACGGGACCCCCAAAATAAACCCCAGGACCCCCAAAATCCCCCCAAAATCCACCCTGAGACCCCCAAAATCCCCCCAAACCACCCCAAAATCCACCCCAGAAGCCCCGAAATCCCTGCAAACTGCCCCAAAATCCACCCCGGGACCCACAAAATCCCCCCAAACTGCCCCAAAATCCACCCAGGACCCTCAAAATCCACCCCGGGACCCCCAAAATAAACCCTGGGACCCTCAAAATCCCCTCAAGTCGCCCCAAAATCCCCCAAAACCGCTCCAAAATCCACCCCAGGACCCCCCAAATCCACCCCAAAACCATCCCAAAATCAAGCCCGGGATCCCCAAAATTTTTTCCCCATTTCTCCCCAATTTCCCCCCCTTTTCCCCCCAATTCTGCCCCTCTTCCCCCATTTTTCCCCCCATTTTCACCCCCCGGGAGCCTCAAAAACCAGCCCAGCGATGCCAAAGGGGCTTTATTGGAGGGTCAGGGGGGTTTTTTGGGGGGTCAGGGGGTTCCAGGGGGGTCAGAGGGTCCCAGGGGGTTTTTTGGGGGGGTGAGGGAGTCACAGAGGGGTCACTTTGGGGTCCCAGGGGGATTTGGGGGGGTCAAGGGGTCACAGAGGGGTCGGGAGGTCCCAGGGTGGGTTTGGGGAGTCAGGGGTTTTTTTGGGGGTCAGGGAGTCACTGGGGTGATTTGATGGGGTCGGGGGGTCCCAGGGTGGGTTTGGGGGTGTCAAGGTGTGTCGAGGTACTTTTTGGGGGGGGTCAGGAAGTCTCGGAGGTCCCCTGGGGGGTCTCTGTCCCCTTCCCCCCCGATGCCTCTCCAGGTCCAGCCCAAGTCCTGGTTGGTCTCAGAAGGTCCTGGTTGGTCTCAGGAGGGTTGGGGGGTCCCAGGGTGAGTTTGGGGGGGGGTCAGAGTTTTTCTGGGGGGGGTCAGGTGGTCTCTGCCCCCCCGATGACCCCCAGGATCCACTGGAGGTGCCACTGGACGCTGGCGTAGACCCCCGGGCGCCCCGGCTGCCCACAGGGGTGTTCCCCCCAGGACACGATGCCCTGGAGGAGCCCCTGGCACACGAGGGGACCCCCGGAGTCACCCTGGGGGGACAAAGGGTGGCACTGAGGACACGGGGGTGGCACTGGGGACACAAAGGGTGGCATTGGGGACACTCAGAGTCACCCTGGGGACGAGAGGGGACACAAAGGGTGGCACCAGGGACACCCACAAGGTGGGAGAGGGGACAAGGGGGGACATGGGAGGGGACATGGGGGACAAGGGGGTGGCACCGGGGGACAAGGGGAGGGGACACAGGAGAAGGACACAGGGACACGATGGTGGCACCTGGGGACAAGGGGGGTGGGACCTGGGGACAAGGGATGGGACTTGGGGACCAAGTGGTGTCACCTGGGGACATGATGGTGGCACCTGGGACAGGGGATGGGACACAGGAGAAGGACACGGGGACATGATGGTGACACCTGGGACAGGGGATGGGACTTGGGGACAGGGTGGTGGCACCTGGGGATGAGGTGGTGTCACCTGGGGATAGGGTGGGAACACCTGGGAACAGGGGGGTGGGACTTGGGGACCAAGTGGTGTCACCTGGGGACAAGTGGGTGGTACTTGGGGACAAGGGGATGGGAGAAGGACACGGGGACATGATGGTGGCACTTGGGGACAAGTGGTTGGGACTTGGGGACAAGGGGGTGGCACCTGGGGATAAGGTGGGGACACCTGGGGACAGGGGGATGGGACAAGAGGACAAGTGGGTGACAAGGTGGTATCACCTGGGGACGTGGGAGTGGGACACTGGGACAGGGTGGGGACACCTGGGGACAGAGTGGGGACACCTGGGGACAAGGTGGGGACACCTGGGGCCAGGGAGGTGGCACCTGGGTACAGGGTGTTGTCACCTGCGGACAGAGTGGGGACACCTGGGGACAGGGTGGGGACACCTGGGACAAGGTGTTGTCACCTGGGGACAGGTTGGGGACACCTGAGGACAGGGTGTTGTCACCTGGGGACAAGGTGGTGTCACCTGGGGACGGGGTGGTGTCCCCTGGCCATACCTGGCAGGAGTCCTTGCCGCCCTCGGGGACGCCGGCGCAGAGCATGTCCTCGGTCACCTGCGCCCCGTAGGACACCTGGCACTCGGTGTCACCCAGCACGGCCACGGTGACACACTGAGGGACGTCCGGGTACGAGTCTGTGGGGACACGGCCAGGGTGACACACCTGGGACACACCTGGGGACACACCTGGGACAGGGACACCCCCTACCTGGGGACCCCTGGAACCCTGAGCTGATGCCACCAACCCTCCCAGTTCATCCCAGTCCCTCCTTTACTGGTCTCCCAGTTTGTCCCAGTCCATCCCAGTAGGTCCCAGTCCTCCCAGTCCCCACCCAGTCCCACCAGTCTCTCACCCAGCTCCCCCCCAGTGCTCCCCCAGCCCATGGCCGTGCAGTTCTCTCCGGGGTCCGGGAGGTCCTCGGGGAGGGGGAGGGGCTGCACCAGGGGGGTCCAGGTGAAGGGGGGCTCCACCCGCAGGAGCAGCAGGTCGTGGGATCGGCTCTGGAATCCGGGATCTCCTCCCCCCTGGAATTCCGGGTGCGGCACCAGCTCCGCCACCGCCGCGAACTGTTCGTGCCCCGAGGGCTGCGAGAGGCTGTGCCCCCCCGCCCGCACCTGCAGGGGGCTGAGAGGGGCACCGCTCAGATCCCCCAGTACGCACCAGTAACTCCCCAGTGCACCAGTATGCACCAGTAACCACCAGTATCCCCCCAGTAGCTCCCAGTGCCCCCAGTAACCCCCCAGTGCTCCCCAGTAGTTCCCAGTTCCCTTCCAGTGCCCCCCAGTAGTTCCCAGTGCCCCCAGTAGCTCCCAGCATCCCCCAGTACCCTCCCCCCAGTGGCCCACAGTAGCTCCCAGTGCCCCTCAGTAGCTCCCAGTGCTCCCAGTAACCCCCCCAGTACCCTCCCAGTGCTCCCAGTACTCTCCAGTGCCCCCCAGTAACCTCCCAGTGC